CAATGTGCAGTCAGAGACCACTATAATATGCCTAGTATCAATGTGCAGTGAGAGACCACTATAATATGCCTAGTATCAATGTGCAGTCATAGACCACTATAATATGCCTAGTATCAATGTGCAGTCATAGACCACTATAATATGCCTAGAATCAATGTGCAGTCATAGATCACTATAATATGCCTAGTATCAATGCCTAGTATCAATGTACAGTCAGAGACCATTATAATGTGCCTAGTATCAATGTGCAGTCAGAGACCACTATAATATGCCTAGTATCAATGTGCAGTCATAGACCACTATAATATGCCTAGTACCAATGTGCAGTCATAGACCACTATAATATGCCTAGTATCAATGTGCAGTCATAGACCACTATAATATGTCTAGTATCAATGTGCAGTCAGAGACCACTATAATATGCCTAGTATCAATGTGCAGTCATAGACCACTATAATATGCCTAGTATCAATGTGCAGTCAGAGACCACTATAATATGCCTAGTATCAATGTGCAGTCAGAGACCACTATAATATGCCTAGTATCAATGTGCAGTCAGAGACCACTATAATATGCCTAGTATCAATGTGCAGTCAGAGACCACTATAATATGCCTAGTATCAATGTGCAGTCATAGACCACTATAATATGCCTAGTATCAATGTGCAGTCAGAGACCACTATAATATGCCTAGTATCAATGTGCAGTCAGAGACCACTATAATATGCAGATGATGCACTACACGGCAGCAGATGTTGAATTAATTTTGGACCAATTAGACATAAATATCATAAAAAAAACATACATTAAAAATTAGGCAAAGTTTATATTTCGTGATACAAGTTGACTTTGGTGTTTGAAGGTCAAAGGTCAAACTCACACATTAAACCTGAAAAAATCAGAATAGGATATATTTGATGACAATACATTAACTCACAGGATTGATATTTGAATGTGTAGCTAGTCCTGGAACATCCTCAAATTTTGTATGCATCCAGTAGAATCTAAATTCAGTATCACTGTCATATACCGGTACTCCCCTCCAACACATCACATCCAACATATAGAAGGTTCTGTTTACTTCAGAGTAAATACAATCCAACAGCGTGTACTCTGTGATGAATATTATAAACAAAAACACAGTGATTTGTTAGACTTGTAAATTTCCCTATACAACTTTTGTTTAAAAATTTACGATAAGACTTTTGTCTCAATATTTATGGTGTGATTTCCACTTTTCTACTGATGAAACTTGAAATTCCAGTAAATATGATATAGTGATCAGAGACACTGCCCTCTAGTGGCACATCTGATTTTATTATAAAGTAATTCACAATAGAACACTAGAGGGCTCTGCATAGGAAAGAATCCCCCTCGTCATAACAACCACGTTTATCGCAATTGCAATTAACCTAGTGACAAAGATGTTATTTGCCAAGTGAAAAAAAATAATGATTTTGATTGATATTATTATTGATGAACTCAATTATTTTGCGTGGGCGAAAGTAAAATATTCTAATCTCACAAGAGACACTTTTCACGATTTTTGCAGAATTTCCAGGGGCTAAGATTAACTGGTTTACAGTTAATCTTTGAAAGCAATAACACTGCAGCTCATGTTACATAGATGAGTACAACCTAATCTAATCTGCAGATTAAGCTGCAATGATCCAAGCTGCATGAGTGAACTCGCATCTACATTTGAACATAATCTTTCCTAAAGACTTCTTTTATATTTCAAGCGCATACACTCACCATATCAAAGGGTTTTTCATTTTCTTTCTCAACATATCAGTTTGTATCAGCTCATGAAATTTCACCCATGTTTGGTGTATTTTCTATTTTTTGTATGCCCAGTAGTTTAGAAATTCAGAATTGACAGAAAAACTCACAGAGTCCGAC